CACCTACCGCTTACTGGGTATTACTGCCAATTGATCTATCCTCACTGTGTGTGTGTGTGTGTGTGTGTGTGTGTGTGTGAGCTCGGTCCATTTCCATCACCAACAGCAGACTGTGATTTGCAGCGTCCAGTGTTTTAATGCAGCTCCGATTTAAAAACTAACCAGATTCATCTTGTAAACATCAATATCTCCTACACCATCATTTTCTCCATCGATCCACACACACATGATTTGTGACAAACACTGTGTGACAATCAATAAGCATCCAGTGGATGGCAGTGAGGAGAAATGAACTGGTGACATGAAGGGTGTTGACGTCCACACCATGAGGTAAGAAGGGTGAACTGCAGCTGTGCCAGGGATTAGAACCAACAACACATGTTGTGTAATTCATACTTCAGTTGATCAACGATGTCAACGGCTTGGAAAGAAGACGGAGGAGACGAGCTGGAGGTCGTCTCGTTTACAGCGTCACCTCCTCCAACAATCACACAGTCACAGCTTTGTGGTGTGTGTGTGGGTGTGTGTGTGTGTGTGTTTGTGAGGTTGGAGAAGATGGTGAACGACAATAAGTCGGTTTGTTGGTAAAACAGTTTTGTTTGTGGGAGTCAACTTTAATGGAGGAGAGGTGAGGTTGGGGGGGATAAGAAAGGGGTGTGTGTGTGTGTGTGTGTGTGTGTGTGCAGGTCAGTATAATGCAGCAGCATTAAGCCCCGCCCCCAGCTGGATGTCGTCCTCACTCTGGGCTAACCTCTGTCTACGGAGGGGCAACAGGGTCAATCTGCTGTTTTACCAACAGGAAAGTGATTCTCCGCAGCTGTCAGCATCCATCAGGCTCAATCACATACTCACAGCCACAAACACACACAGGTCAGCCACTCAGCCGTGCACACACAGCCATGAAACCGCAGGCTCAGTGCGGTCGGCCACTCAAAAAGCAGTAAAGTCCAGAAAATGGCGTGCGGCTGAAAGAGCGTGGTCTCGATTGGATGGAGCTCTGTTTTCCCACTGCCGTTTATTTCCTTTGTCCATGTTCGTACGTCTTCTATTCCTTCTTCTCCTCTGGAGGTTTTTACTCCATCTAGAGGCTGAGGCTGCGTTAGCCTCGTCACTCAGCTGTCCAGCAGCAGTCCAGTCTGTGGGAAACCTCTGTAAGATCTGGGCTGCACATCTTCACAGAAGGAGAGTCAGAGAGTTAGAGACAAGGCAGTCCAGTCTGTGGGAAACCTCTGTATACACACACACACACACACACACATATATACATACACAAACATATATATATACACATATACATACACACATATATACACACACATATATACATACATGTGGTCTGTATGTTTTTTTTTCCTAAAGGGATCAATTATCTGTGTGTGTGTGTGTGTGTGTGTGTGTGTGTTCAGTGATTTAGATGTTCAACCCTATATTTCTGCTGCCATCTTCATTGTTTTATCTGGCGGCGTCTCACACACCCTCAGCCGACAGGCTAACAGATAGTATTTTAAATCATATTAGCTCCATTACAAACTCCTTTATTGTCTGTCTCCGTCCGTCAGCCGCC